ACACTGAAACTATGTAAGCGGTGTAACTATGTAGGCTGGTTCGAGTGCAGCTGCGGGAAAGATTGAAGCAATACTGCAGTAGGAAAGGGACTCTAATAAGGTGAATTTTGCTACACTATCCTACTTACACAGTCAATTACTGATACTTGAGTCATTTACCTGATGCAAGAGGGACTTTTGTATGTCGATGAAACAGGTGCAGTCAATCCACTAATGCAAGAGGGACTTCTGTTTGGCAGACATGTTCCACCCATCCGGGTATGTTCCATTAATAATTATAAGCAACATATATAAATGCAAGAGCTCTGATGCTGTTATCTAGAAATACTATAAGCTTTGTTCTTCAATGAATGTGGTAATCTTTGTTCTCCAAATCCAAATCCATAAAAAAAAAAAAAACAGAAAGCTAAACAAGCATAGATAGATGCCAACTTCATGCTTAGTTGATGATGTTCTTTCCCCTGGCATTATCTCTAGTCTGTCTCCTCGTCTGTAACAACAAACACAAAATATATAATCACACAGTTAAGCCATATATTATTTATACTTGAACATATGATGTTGCGTCACGTACCTGTGGAGGCTCATCAGTTGGAGGTTGCACACAAGTTTGTGCACGTTGACTGGGTTCTCCACGCTCTCTGTTACCTTTAGTAGCACTTCTAGTACGTGGCATGGTCTGTTACAAAAAAAGGTCCACACTTGTCACTACACTAATTCAGAATGAATAGGTCGAGACATTAAGAAACTGGATACTGTCATTCCACTGACCTTTGGGGGGCAGCTACCTTCTTCATCAATTTTGTCATCATTTTCTTCTTCATTTGTAGCTACTTTCCTCTGCTGTCATATAAAATGTTAGTGTTGTTAGAATAAAAATAGAAGATGAATTTAATTTGTTTCATAGGTAGTGTTGTTCACAACTAATACCTTCCCAGGTCCGTCTCGTGAACCATCAACAACCCCATCGTTCTGTTCACCATTACTGTTTTTGGACTGACCTTCAGTCTGCTTGGTACTACTCCTAGTCTTCCGCCGCTTCAGCAAAATGAAAGAAACTAGTGTTAAAATCAGAAACTATAGATTCATTATACAAAGATATCATAAACCATGGAAATAAACACACTGTACGATTCAGAAATTCACAGAATTAGCCTATTTAATTCACCTGCCGTGGTGGGCTGTTTGGACCATTCTTATCTGAATAATCTGGTTCCTCGTTTCCATCATCATTTTCCTCATCTGACCCCGGTGATTTAGGACGTACATATCCCACAGGCTTATCACATGTGCTTCTATAATGCCTTTCATCTCCACATCGACCACACTTCCGAGGCTTCTTGTCCGACTTCTTCCGTTTTCCAGTTTTACCACCTTTATATGCTACCTTCATTGGGTTTTTTACAGCTTTGTATTCTTCTGGTATCTCTATTGTCGACCTCTCAGTAGTACCAGTTTGCATGTTGTTCAACTGGTCACATGCAGTTGCCATTAACTTGTTTGCAAACTGAAAAGTATCCACTGTAGTTGCCCCTAGGAAGCAAAACCGCGATGCTGAAAATTGCAGCAGCCCATACCTAACGTTAAATGGCCAAGGGTCCTTGATATCCAGTGGTTGTTGCGTAACTTCTATAGTCTTAGGATTCTTGCTCCATCTTTTTAATGCCAACTCTTCTGGAATCGTTGGTATGTTCTCTTCTTTCAATAAATATAGAATATGGGAACATGGGATGCCCATGTATGCAAGTTTAGCACAACTGCACTCCATTTCCTTGGTTTCAACATCATATCGGACAGTGAACTTCTTCTGTTTCCCAAACAAGCTTACATCATAATTGTGCACACTTCCATCTACCACATGATTACTCTTGATACAACCCTCCACCAATCCTAACTCTTTTTGAAACTTGCGGAATATCTTGTTAGTGAATATCTTTGCACCTCTTTCTTCAAGTGTGCGCAATGCCGGATGTTTCATTTCCGGGACACCATGGTTAGATTGAAAATCCAATTTGACCTCATTTTCCCTCAACTCTCCAATCCATCGATCAAAATGGATAAAAAAACTCAAGCAAATTGTGGTTCTCGGTTACATACCTTCCAAGATGTGAGTTGATTCCTTCACATCTAGAGGTTGTTGACAACCCTGCAAAGAAGTAAGATCGAAGGTATGTGTATGCCCATTCCCCTCGTCTATCAAATAAATCGGAGACCCATTGACAATCTTCCAATTTGTGACTTGAGACCAATTCCTCCCATTTTTCTTCAAATTCAGCCGGTTTAAGATCAACATATACAAACTTCTTCCATTCAGGCTCAAATGCTCTATTATTCTTTAGACGACTCACAATGTTCTTGGCGATATGCCATGAACACAGTCGATGAGTTGCAGCAGGAAACACTTTCTGTATGGCATTCCTCATCGCTTTGTCACCATCTGTTACAATCGTCCGAGGTTCTTTGTCTCCCATTGCTTTCTTCAACTTCCCTAGAACCCAATCATAACTCTTTTATGTCTCGTTAGCCAATAAAGCACATCCAAATATACAGCTCTTACGATGGTGATTGATACCTAAAAAGTGATACTAAAGTCATGCATAGCTAAATAGAAGATAGAGTTGCATATCAAAGAGGAGTGATGGAACAACTTTGATTCGAAAAAGGTTGGTTACGTACCTGAGAAAACAACTAGCGGCATGTTGTAAATGTTTTTCTTGTATGTGGTGTCAAAAGCTAGCAAATCCCCAAAGCATGACATATCGGCTACGCTTATGCTGTCCGCCCAGAACACACTACAAAGCCTCTTCTCTTCATCGAAAGTGGGTTCGAGGATGAACTGATTGTCTATGCTCATTTTTGACTTTAGATACGCTAGTGCAGTAGCAGCATCGCCTTCACTGATCCTATCTTGTCGAGCTTTAGATGCAAAATTATGCAAATCCTTTTTCGTATGTCCTACTTTGTCGTACCCTCCAGATTTCTTAACATGCTGATTCATGATATCAGCAATTTTCATGCCCGCATCTCGTTGGTATCGAACTTCAGCTTTTGTAGCTTCATCTAAACCTCTATGTGATCGCATATGATGCACCAGTTGTGGACGAACTGGATCATGGGTGTGGTTTACATCAAAAGCATCAATAGCATATTTAGAATCTAACCTGTCCAAGGCAACATAGATGAATTCAGTCACTAGGAAGTATGAGTATGAATGTCAGGATACTGCATTGTCACAAACAACATCACAAATCTAGTTAGATTTATCAAATTGTGAATGGAAAGAACTTGTCTAACCTGTCCAAGCGAACACGCATGAAAGCTTGACACTGAAATCGAGTGTTCACGCGTGCAGTTAGCTTCAGTTCCTTTACTCGTTTGCGTTTTGTTCCCGCAGCTGAACAAACAAATTTTCGAGAAGTTATTTCCCCCTTTTTGGTTTCAGTTTTCCTCTCAGTTCTCACAGAGAAGCCCCAAGCTCTTGCATACGTGTTATAGAAATTGTAAGCGTCGTCAATGGTATTGAATTTCCGACCGATGACATCCTCTGCTGTAAGGTTGGCCAAAATTTCCAATGCTTCTCCGTTCAAAGGGACTTCGTCATGCTGAATTCCGGATGCAACTTCAGTCTCCTCTTCATCTCCACTCGAAGGGGTTTCTGACTCCAAAATATTGGTATCAATTGCCGGAGTTATAGTCCCTTCTCTCTCGGCATTCAAATCAGCGCTATGCTGGGGTTGAGCGGCAGCCTTTGCCTCTGTGGTTCGATCCTCTTCTCTCTCACTATTGAAACCAACACTTGTGCTAGGGTGATTCCCATCCTTGTCCATGTGGGCAGCTGTTCTGAGTTGCGTCGATGCTGTGTACAATACACCAGTTCGCCAGTTCCAGTGTTCTGTGCGTACATGTACAGAAGCAACTGATTGTGGGGGACTTCGTGAGGGAAACGCTAACCCAAATTAACTCCTCCAATTTTCTCTCTGCATACGTATTCCTCAGAATTCAAATCCGTAATTTTTTTAACTCGTTTTTCAAGGATGCAGTTCCATTTCGGTGCTGAGATGATAAGGGACTCTTTGGGAATATACTGTGTCATTCCTTATTTCCAGCGTGTGGGAGTTTTAGTTAGTTTGTCATAACGGGTCTCTTCAACAGATTTGCTACTTTATAGGAATGCAAATCGTAGGAGAGGGAACTTTAGTAGAGGTTTGGTGTTAGTCTCTTGTCCACGAGGAAAACATACAGGGGACCTCTTACCTCCCAAAATTTTTGTCAATTTGTATTCAATTTTTCAAATTCCAATTCGTGATTGTTAGTCAATTGGCCTGGTAGGTTGGAGAGGTACGCTTTATATGAGAACTTCATAGTTGCTGGGAATTCAGCTTTATGATGTGTGCGGTAAATTCAACTTTTCTTTCTCATCTGTTTTGAACAATTGACTATTGTTGTTGTAGTCTGGGGCTAAGGACAGTAGTGTGAGAATGTAAATACTGTAAGGATTTTTTTTGTTTGTAGAAAGTCTTCAGTTCATTGTAAGGGTTTTTAAACACTGTTAGCAAGGTGAAATCATTGCTAAATTATATGCCTTAGTTTTGCTGTTTGATTTCCTAGAATATCATGCTCACATATTTTCTGGTGATATGATAACCTCTCAGGGGTATGCGTGGGAAATAACGACTGTTGAAGGTGGATATGGTCTTAATGAGTTGTTAAGCAGTCGAAGGATAGTTTTGAATGGTGCGCACTCAAACTTCATAATCATCTGTTACATTTGATTTCTTTCCTCCTCCAACTTTAATCGTTTAATTCCTCCCTTGCAATCTATTTCTTAGGGATCGCAAATGGCATTGATGTTAACGAATGGAATCCATCGAGCGATAAACATTTAGAAGCCCATTATTCTGCTGATGATCTTTCCGGAAAGGTGGTATCTTCCCATTTTCTCTGTTAAGTAGTTGTCAAGAAAAAATGCCCTCTTACCAGTATTTTTTCCCAATATGCAGGTTCAAAATAAGATTGCTTTGCAGAAGGAATTAGGTCTTCCTGTGATACCTGAATGTCCCCTGGTAAAGTATCGATAAAGTTTGTGCTTTTTTTTGTTGGAAATTGAAGTTTTCTCTTCTGTTACTTGTTGAAATTTTTCACTTGCATTAAAGATTGGATTCATAGGGAGATTAGACTACCAAAAGGGCGTTGACCTTATTCGTTGGGGAATTCCTGAACTTCTGAATGATGATGTTCAATTCGTAAGTGAGTTCGTCTCTTGAGTTTATTCTACTCTATTGAGTACTAGTTGAATGATGATGTCCTTTGAAGCAACTGAAAAAAATAATCTCCATTTTGCATCAGGTTATGCTTGGGTCTGGAGCTAAAATGTATGAAGACTGGATGAGAGAAGCAGAGGCAGCTCATAAAGACAAATTCCGGGGTTGGGTTGGATTCAATGTTCCGATTTCCCACATAATAACTGCAGGGTAATAATCGAAGCTTATCTCTGTGTTTCATAGACAAATTAGTTACTAGAAATGCTAGTTAGACTAATCATGGAGCTCGTGTGGAATTGTTACAGTTGCGACATACTGCTGATGCCCTCGAGATTTGAACCCTGCGGACTAAATCAGTTGTATGCAATGAGATATGGAACTATTCCAGTTGTTCATGGCACCGGAGGACTTCGAGTGAGTCATGTTCATATAAAGAAAGTAAAAGAAAGAACAGAAATGGTCTCTATGACTGTTATATGCTGTACTAAATAATGTGTTCATTGTTGTCTCAGGACACTGTGCAGACGTTCGATCCATATGCTAACGACGGTCAAGGTGATGGCACAGGGTACGTGTTTTCCCTTTTAGGCCTTGTGTCCTGGCTGATCTTTCAGCTCCTAATGTTGTTCGACGATTATCCTGACTAGTTCGATGTATTGACAGGTGGACATTTTCTCCATTAGCAGTAGACAACATGTTATGGGTAAGTTGGTGTTTCTTACCATTCATGGAAACTGCTTCTAAAGCAAGCACCTTCGCCTACAGCCCTCCTGAACCCGGTTGGTCTGACTCTAACCATTATCTGTGAATGGTAATTGGTGCGCTTGCAGGCATTGAGAACTGCGATATCGACATACAGAGATCACAAAGAGTCGTGGGAAGGGATGATGAAGAGAGGCATGGAGAAGGACTACTCATGGGAGAATGCTGCTGTCCAGTACGAGCAGGTCTTCGAATGGGCCTTCATCGATCCCCCTTACTGTTAGAAAACCAGAGGACTGCTACTTCAACCACCACAACAACAGCAACTACATCAAGCTAGCTTTCATCAGACAGAAGAACCTTCACAAGATCCTCTTTTGCTGGCCTAGCAGGCTTCCATTACTCAGCACTCCCTAGTGTTATTGCTATAGTTCTTATATCGTTTGTTAGATGGTAGGACCTGGTTTTAGCTGCACAATCTGATGTGATTGTGGGTTCCATTACCAGGTGATTCTATTTTAATCAAAGTTTTGTACGTGGGTTGTTAGCTTCCAGCTGTACACATTTGATTTTGATTGATTTTACTAGATGAAAGATTGACAGATTGTTTGGTGGTCTTCACCATTTTCTTTGTGCTCTCCATCATTCCACCACTTCCACATGCCGGTTTCATTATATTTCCACCCTTTCCTTTGATGAACCATTCAAAGAAGAGGCCAATCAAGTAGGGGACAATAAGCTTTCAGTAGCAGGCATAAATCGTTAAACAATCTAATTTTCATCCTCCGTAGATCTCTAAATGAACGTCAAAACCTTCTCATACACGGAATAAAATTTCAAAAGAACTAAAGTAAGAACTAGCAAGTTTTGTTCCTTCAGATAGAGTAAAGCTCATTTGTGTACTTATTATAAACGATATATTTGTTTTGAAAAATCGATTTGTACTTATATTTGAGAATTTGTTTAACAAAATGATTTGTTTGTTTGAGGTAACAAAATGGGAAGCCGTTAAACAGTTGGTTTGATCAAAACCCAAACCCCCATTTCCCATTCCCCCTGTCCCTCTCCCTTTCTTCCTCTCGATTCCATTTCTAGAGAGAGAGAGAATGGAAATTGAGGCTCATACAGTCATACAGGATCACCATATTTGCATTGGAGGGGAAGATTGAGGAAGCGGATGAAGTGTTTTTGGTTCTCTTCTCTTCCTCCCTGCTTCTGGTGAAAAACAAATCTAATAACAACTACTTGAGGTGTTTTTTTACTTAAGCCTTTTGATTTAAGCACTTCACACGGTGATCACAACAACTCTCATTTATTGCTCCAAATCAAACTAATATGATGTTTAATCATACAATGCTTGGTTCTGAAAGCAGAATGCTTTTCTTATATTGCTCAAATACTCCTCCAAGTCGATTTCTAGTTGGACAATATACCCATAAACCATTGAGAACTGCTGCCATCGCAGCTGCAAACAACAATAAAAAAGCACAAATACAACACAGTGGTTCTACGAGCAAACAAAAATCAAATTTGGGAATTTCAATGCAGTAACGATCGTGGAGAAGAAAAGAAAATGTCACAAAAACAAAAACACCTAGCAGCAACTGCTCCAGTTCTTTGATTGTTTGGGAACAAACAAATAAAATCTTAGTGCCTTGCCATTCCCTAATTATTTAGGAGTCGCACTACTTTCCACACCGCCCTCCAAGAATCACCTCCACTAACACTTTCCATGAGTACCTTCTGATGGAGAGCATCACGCTCCATATTCTCCATATTGTTCAACAAGTACAGAGCTAGACCCAGCCTCTCCTCTTCACTGTCAAACTGAAAAATGTAAATGAAGAAGCCATTAAAAAATGACCAAAATTGCGTCAATAACAATAGTACCAAGATGAAGGGAATAAGCCACCTTCTTCTTCAGTCCCCGGGCACACTCATCCAAATGGCCACCACATGTCATCAACTTCAACACAAACAACCCACAGTCGAACCTGGCCCAAAAAAATTTAAACCGAAAATTCAATCAAATAGCTTATTACAAACAAACCACCTAATGAGAAACTAGAAAGATAAACATACCCATTCTCTTGCCGCGGAGCATTGACCACCTCTACGATGGTGAAAGTGCAAAACATCGTGGCTTCGAATCTCCTCATGACTGCTTCAAAAAAGATCGAGTCCAGTTCCTTTGCCTACAGCAAGTACATAATATGTCAGCATATATACAAATTGAATACATAACATAGCCTTTTAGATGCCCAAGATGACTTACAATCAGTGTCACTTTTTCTCCCCTCTTAATTGGATCGACACAATTTGGAAGTGAGTCCCATATTTCAATCACCTCTTTCTTAAGGTCAAAAACAGAAAGAAAGAAGTGGCTACCCAGCAGCACCGGGACAAAAATCTGACATGTACACACATTACTTAAACCTCAACAAAAAATGCTATCCATCACGAAATTCTAAGAGGTTCCAGCATTTGCAACAGTTACCTTCTCACAATCATTGAAGTCCCCAGAGCAGTACACTGTTTTAATTCTTTTCTCAGGGTAAGCAAAAACGCGATCTCCGGTTGCATAGGCCACCTACAAGAATAGTCATATTAAATCGTAATAGTTACACAATCGATTCACTTTTTATGGATACCTAGATAATGTTCCAATTTTTATGTGCCAACCAGTCAGGTTCATAATGTCAATGTCACCTCTCGAACATAAGTGCTGAAAATACACTAGTGTGGTATGACTTTATTGCACAGAAGCAGCCATACAACTTTTAAAAGGAAACCTCAAAATTTGGTTTCTGGAATTTCAAGAAACATGGGCAACACATCTAGGATTGGGTGGCGCTAGAACTTTTCAATCCATAATTCATCACAAGAATGACAACATATCTGATTTCAGTTTCAGGTTCCACTCATGACAAGAAATTCACACTGAAAAAAAACAGCACAAAAATTATGGCCTAAAGTTCAAGTTTTTTTAATGACAGACGTCAAATTTAAGTGACTAGCCGAGATTTTCTAATAACAGCAAAAAATTTATGGCCTAAAGTTCAACAGATTTTAACAACCCTATACAATCATTCATAATGAAGACTCTTATAACCAAAAATAACTTTTAGCATACATTAGAGTTTGACATATATCCAATTACTACTTTTAAAGATATGCAAAATACTACCAAATACAACTTATGAACTTACAGCAAATGCCGGTGGTAAGAACCAATTCATAGGTTTTTCATTTTCCAACTCCGGCACCGTTAACAAGTCAACGCACATAGTGATCACCTACACAAATAAAGAGTGTCAAAACACATATCATGTTACACAACTTTGCTCCTTTACTAAGCCATTTATAAAGTCAAGAATCAAGATAAGTTGTATACGAACCTGAGTAGACAATGGTATTTCCGGCACTAATACCTTAAACTCTCCACGGGTTAGATGAAACCATGGAGATCTAACCAGCGCCTCACTACAACCAACAACAGACAATACAAATCATTTTTGAGTGCTTTTAACTTGCAGAAAATGAATTATGCTCAATTAATAACAATGTAACACAATTTTTTTATTACCTTTCATCCTTGAATGGATAAAAAACGTGGCTGATCAACCACTGATCCCTTTTTGATAGGGACTTTGTAGTGATGAAGGGGCCGATCACCTTTATTTTGACATTAGTCCTCTCGGGATCTTTCCGGGTCCAAATAGGACTCCGCAACCTAATTGGAGACTTTCTAACCGCTTTCCCCTATCATTTAAGATATGTATTAAAACACTGATATCACATAAAGACACAAAACAAAAGTCTGACTAGGGGTACCTTTCTCCTGCTGACTGTGCTTTTCGTCTCATGCTTACTCCTTGTTGCCAAGGAAAACGAGCTATCCGAGCTTAAGTTCACAACTTCGACTTTATCGTCATTCTTCTCCTTTCTACCATTTTCAGAGTTCCCACCGAACTTCCCAATCAACAGGTCCCTAAACGACTGCACTATTGTCCTCAAGTCGTTAATATCACCCTTCAACTCCCTTTTCATAGATAGCTGACCTTTTTCCAAGTCACTCATAAACGAATGCAGGCTCCTGATCTGCATAACAAAAACCCAGCCATTTAGGTACCCCAAATAAAAAATAACAAAAAAAAGGAATGCAGGACATTGTACGAATTTCGAAACTTTACCTCATTTGATTCGGCTGCTGTCTTGTCTAACCTGAAAACAACATTAAAAAAACAAAGCTTCAGCAGGGGCCATAAGACTCAGGAACAAAGGCCTCGGAAAACAACTCAAACTAACCCTTCCATGACACCGATCTTCCTTCTTTTGTTTTCTTCCCGAAAATACGAAGATTATTCCACTCGGATGAGTAGCTTATATAGGAAAAACGTGTTTAGAGTTCTGATGAAGGAAGGGGACTGTTACAAAATCTTTTTGTTGTGATTTGTATTTATTAGAAATAAAATTAAATAAACTAATAAGCTTCCTAGAAGGTAAATACTTCTTATCAAAACTCGTGGGTGGGAATCAAAATCCCTTTTTTTATTAAGTCTCCTAGTCTTCACAATTGTGATATATAAAACTGAAATACTTTAATCATTCTTTCCTGGCGTAAAAAGTGCAGGGAGCTACAATAAGGGAAAAGAAAAAAACCCAATCAGAAGCAACGCAAACAACAAGTTGTATGAAACACAAGGTACATGTGTTGCTTCAGTTTATTGATGGATCAACAGTGAAGACAGACCAGATTTGAGGAACGAAGGTTTAACGGGGCTTTAAGGTCGAATGGAAGCACAAGCTTTCTGAGACCAAGTCTCTTTACTTCTCAAATCCGACTCTTAAAGCTAAAAGAAACAGCTTCAGGTCGAATCAGAACAAATTGCCAAGACCCAAAACCATGCCTAGATGCACAGTCCCGTCATTTTGACCAAAATACGGATACCTACCTTAGTCTACGTTGATGCCATTTAATATGTTCCTAACAAGGCATCTACCTATATACATCCAACCTCTCTAGTCTCAACTATCAAACAAGTCAACAATCACCATAAGTATAGAGCTACAACACTTTCAACAGTGTAATATGCTCCCATCTAGGCATCTACCTACATATATCCACCCTCTCACCTATGCATAAAACAAGTTATCAACCACCATACGAAAAGGAGTTTTAGAGTCAGAGCAGTTAGAGCAAGAGCACACAGCCTAGCAACATGTCACTTAACCAACCATTCAGACCATAAGTGATGATTAACAGTTCTTAACACATGCATCCACCCAAACCTGTGAATTATCATCAATCCTTTCCTGTATAACGACTGCTTATGTTACCTTTAACACAGTCTGCTTCTTCTTTCCTTCTCCCGTAGTCGACCTCCATCCTAGCAACCCGATCTTGCCCTTTCCGCCTCATTTGCCGATACTGTTTGTTAATAACCAAGTAGATGTGAGATGAATATATGAGGACTTCAATCCAACCATAACATTGATTTGTGCACTATGAAACTAGAAACTTTTTAGACATCTAGTTTTAGCAGCTATATTAGCTGCTCATACCGAAACACAATAGATCACGGTTATGCCCATATCAATTTCCTAGAGGTTCCGCATTAGTTGAAAGCACGAGGATCACCATTTTCGGAAGCATACTCACAAGAGATTAGATGTTCAATGCAGTAGTACCATACACAGATAGACAACCTGGACCCTAGTGAAATTAAGTTCAAAGAGGCTGAATAATGATGCTGATGTTTGAGTTAACTCCCAATTAACATAATCTGTAGAAATACAACATCAATACCAGAAGCCAAAGAAGTAATGCTAATAGTACAAACAGAAAGACCTCAACCCACCAACATACATGTAGGAAGAGATCTTCTTTAAGTTCATTACAATGTAATTAGACTACAAATGGTTTTTGATTAATTTTGTATGTTTCTTTCTGCTGAGAAATCTATTTTCAACACATTAAGCCTGTAAAGACATCAACTACAATAGTTCAATTAGAGAACTGTCAATGCTGCTCCAGCTCATCGCCTTACCATCTACAACGCCAAAAATAAGACAGACCATTCATATAGTTCTAGATAAGCCTAACAATGCTTTCCGGATAATGCTTGCGGTCGTGAACACTAAAATTTTACAACAACTTAATCTGCCCTTGTTATAGTCGCCATGTTCATCACCTATAACACTTTACTCTTTGAACCTCAAATCCTTTAGCTTGAACAGCAACCCTAACCCCACAAATTCTAACCAAGACTAATCCCAACCCTATTCGCTATGCATTCACAACTTATCACAAAAGTTCAGAGAAGTTACAATGAGGAACTCCTAAACCTATGCAAACTCCACCGTAAAGTAAAACGTGATGCACTCTTGTCAATGACGCAAGTGGCAATACCTGGTGAAAGTCGCGACTCCGCTCGATTGCCGTAGCACTACCCGCAACTCCCGTCAATCTCATAAATCATCCGTTGCGCCGCCTCCCCTTGCACCTGCGACAAATCAAGCTAAAAAACCCTAAGTTTAGAGAGATAAATCGGTTTGATAGGAGAATCGGGATAGGAGATGGCGTTGAATTGAAGTCCCTCCCTTCTGATGCAGATGCATGTGGCCTTGGGGGAAGAAAACCAGGGCGTTTAATTGAAGTCCCTCACTTCTCCCAAACTCCAAGCTGTCGATCATCACCATCATCGCAGCCCACCGTCGCCTTATCAGTCTCTTCTTCTTCTTCTTCTTCTTCTTCTTCTTCTTCTTCTTCTTCTTCTTCTTCTTCTTCTTCTTCTTTTTCCACCACCTACGGATCCCAAACCTCGCTTTCCCTCCTCTATAAATGCTCATTTCCGACAATTGCATCGACAAGGTCATTCTTTGGCGGGACAGTAGGAGAGGCCAACGGCGATTAGAAGAATTCGGCCGAATCGGAGATTTTTATTTTTATTCGGGAAGCAAGAAAGCAGAGAATCAGCATCAGCAACGAAAGGAGTAGTGTGGAAGGGAGGAGGATGAGGAAAGGCGGCGGCGGCGGGGAGATATCATCGGCTTTGCAGCGTTCAGGGAGAAGGGAATACGGCGGCGTAGCCACTTCTCCGCCTCTTCTGAGAGCAAAGCCTCCTTCTCGATTGGCCGAATCGGAGATATGAAGGTGAAAGGGGATAGGGGATGGAGTTTGCTGAATGGACACGAAAGGATAAGAGGAAGAAGGTGAAATGGCTTGTTGGATCTTTTCAGAAAAGGAAATGAATAAAATGTTTGTGAAATTCAATATTTTAGTTATGCATTTTGAAACAAGAAATAAAAATAATTGTACTATTTATTATTGATAAGAAATTTGGGTGTTATAAATTATGAATGGCAAAAAGAAGGTACTATAAATGTTCAATTGAAAACTTACATGATTGATTTAACCAGAAAGACGGCAAAATATTATTTGGGACTAAATAGTATTTCGAAATAAATTTATAGGTATACTTGTAATTTTAATTATTCTTAATTATTTACTTAATTATAACTAATTAAAAATTATTAACAAGTGTGAACACATGCGCACAGCGTACGACCGTCGTACGCTAGCCCTTAATGAGTTCTACGGTACCCAGGGTGAAATCCGGGGTACCGCATACCTTGAGTATGAAAACGCTATCCAGAACTTGAATTGACTGATACTATACCCTAACCCTTAATGAGTGAACCCTAGGTCCTAATTATCTAAATCATAAACTATAAATCCTAAGATGGTGCATTGATGTTTTTGCCAATATTTGGACGAATCATAACCGTTGATTATTGTTTCTAATTAAATTGATCTTGGGGTATAAGATTTAGAGAATTAAGACCTAGATTTTGATCTTTAAGGGTTAGAGTACAGTATCATGTCCGAAAGATCAGTCAATTCAAGTTCTGGATAGCGTTTTCTTACTCAAGGTATGCGGTACCCGGGATTTCACCCGGGGTACCGTAGAACTCCCCATATATATATATAAGGGTGATATAGATTTCTTTTTTGCGATTAAGGAACTACTTAGGGATCCGAACATGGGACCTCCAGGTTTTACCGTTCTAGGCTAGTGGTATTACCACTAGGCCAAACCCTTGTTCGTTTTGTGATAGTCTTTGCAATTCAAGATTCTCGCCTAAACTTGACTTAATTAAACTTGGTTGCAACTTACAATACAAGAATAGACGGATTCCATCATCCAAGTCCCAACTATCTGGTACAAGAATAGACGGATTCCATCATCCAATACTATTTTGTTTCCATGTTTACCTGGTTACCACAGAGCAAAGAGTTACAACCCAAATGCAGCAGCCGAGCTCAACAATGGAAGAGACTCAAAAGTTGTATTGTGAAGCTGCATTATCATTGGATTCCTCAAATCCCCATCTCGGAGTTCCTTTACTGTATGAGGGCATTGTCCAAGCAACGGGAAACTTCAACAAGAGGAACTGCAATGGCAACGGTGGCTTCTCTGCTACTATTACTCTGCTGCTGCCTGCTCTGTTGTTTGGTGAGGAAAGCATTTTCTACCACATCGTTGGTAGAAGATAAATTCCACTCTTCCCCAACTATATAATAATGAGTGATTTTCTTCATTTTGGGGCAAGTCCAGAGCAATTCCAAGAAGTGGCCATTACAATTGGCTGCAATTTTGGTTTTTTCTGGCCCAATAATGGCTCTTGTGGGTCTACTATTGGGCATAGTATGTTGGGCTTGATGAGCTAGTTTTTTTAGCTATGAACTTTTTTTTTAGCTATAATCAAGCTGAGATCAAGCTCAAGTTGAGAAAATCTCTGTAAAGCTCGAGTCTGAGCTAAGTAAAAGCTTGGCCCAGTTTAGCTATAATCACGGGGAATTATTTATAAGTTTTTTAGTTTTCATTTCCCGTGATTAATCACGGTTATTCGTGTGAACTTTTAAGAATTTCTTTATAAATTATTTCTTTCAATTTTATGAGGGATGAATTCTTTTTGCTTAAGATGTATTTTGGTTTCAAAATTTTTATCTTTGGTAGAATTGGCTCCAAATTTTCATTTGCTCCAGCGACAACGTAACCGCCTATTTTCTAAAATTTGGGCCGCCAAGCCAAAAAGAGACTTTGGTTCCAAATATTCTTTGGTATTTGACTCCAAAATTTTCATTTTAGGTAGAATTGGTTTCAAGTTTTTATTTGCTCCAGCGGCAAAGTAGCTGCCTCTTTTCAAAAAATTTGGCCACAAAGCGCAAAAAAGGAAAAACCTTAGCTCTCAAAAATTTTGGCCCGCAAGCCTCCAAATTCCAAACACACACTCGCTCTTTCTCTCTCTCTTTCTCCCTTCCCCGTACCTATCCTCAACTCAGCATGAAGATTTGAGAGTTTATTGGTATTTAAGCTAGTTTATAAATCTTGTATCAGCATGATGATTTGGATAATTCTAGATGATTTCAATTTTGCTGGTGTTCATGCTACAAGAAAGATTATTTTCAATTGTGTTGATATTTGTTTTATTGACGCTAATCTTATAACTTTGAGTAGTGATTCCTTTTTTTTTACAAGTATTATGCTAGCTTCATATAGTTACGATTTACGACTTACTAGTAATCACTAAAAACTAACGCGATGTTCTGGTCTGTAAAACCCGTAACCCGAACCGCCCGACCCGCAACCCGATTAACCCGCACCCGATTGACCCGCAACCCGATTGGCCCGCAACCCGATTGACCCGTAACCCGAGTAACCCGCAACCCGACCAACCCAAACCCGATCGACCCGCAACCCGACCAACCCGCAACTCGAATGAACCCAGCCCGAACCCGCCGATTGACACCTCTAGTCAATGCCAATATAGTATATCACATGGGTAAGAACTGAGAATAACACCAGCCATGAAACATCCTCCTTCAGTCCTTCCTTACATACTGTATGAGGCCTTGAGCCCATTTATCTTGTACGTCATTAGATCTGCTCATTTGGGCTTGTAAAGGTCCGGGCCAGCTGACGATATCTGCTGCTGATTCTCGGTCAATGCCTCAATGGTGGTTATCTTCCCCAATCCTAATCGATATCGCCAGTCCAACTCCCAAGCATCTGCGGCGACTCATCCGTGAGAGAAGCCGTCTGCTTTCTTACACTGTTCGACCCCTTTCTGCTCTGCGCTACTGGGTTTTCTACTCGCCGGGTGCTTCAATCCGGCAAGCTGCTGGTTCTTCGCCAATGTTTTATTTCTAACTCGCCGGGAGCTTCAACCGGCAACTAGCTGTGTTCTTCGCCGAGGTAAAACATAGCAAAAGTTGCTGACTTTGACTCAGTTTACATTCCATTGAACGTGAATCTGCAGAATTGTCATTCTAGATTAGCAAATCCGATTAGAAAGTCTTTAGTAGTGTTCATAGGCAGTTTTCGGTTTTGGCCGATCTCTTTGACCTTTCTGGATTCTCTGAATTGGGGTTATGTGATTTTGGATTCAACATATCTGTTTTATCTTAAAGCTTTGAAATTTCTGGGGAAATCCTCGTTCTGTCATGTCAATCTTACATCACTCGATAGCATCACAAAGTTCTCGCAGGTTCTAGCTTTCATAATTTTCGTACTCAAATTGGAGCCTATGGCTGCTGTGGAACTGAAGACCGGGAATGGCGATGCTAAACCTGTGGGGAATGCAACGACATCGTCGGTTAATGTAAGGGTATTGTTCTTTGCCAGAGCTCGAGACCTAACTGGCACGGCAGATACTTTATTGGAGGTGACATCGGGCAGTACAGCAGGGGACTGCTTGAAAGAACTCATTGCTAGATTTCCCGCATTGGAAGAGATCAGAGAATGCATGGTGCTCGCTCTGAATGAGGAGTACACATCTGATTCTGCAGTCGTCAAAGAGAATGATGAGCTGGCTATCATACCTCCCATCAGTGGTGGCTAGCCAGGTAGATTCCCCCTTCCACATTGCAGATTTCCTCATCTAAGATACGTGAATTTTTGTACCAGCATGCGTTCAATACTCATGATCAAGTCTCTGGCACAAAAAGATGTTCAAGTTTCAAATTCTGCATGACGGTGTAAGAACTTGTGAAAAATGAGTAGCCATTGAACTTCTACATTCTCAATATGTGGTGCAAAAATTAGGGTGTGTCCTATTTCACACATCATGAAGATGAGACGTGTATCTAATGAAAATAGTTTCAAAATTGCAGTTCATGAGGGTTTTTATTTCATTCCATTTATGGGTGTATACAAAGTTGCACATAATGCACTTTCCTTTCACAGTAGAATGCTATCTGCATTTAAACACACCATCTAGGCATCTACAATGTCTTCTGTAATATTGCCAATTATTTTCAAAGAATTCTCAAGGGAACTTATGGCTATTTATACAAGAATTGGGCTAATCTCGGTTATGAGATATTGGAGATAACCATAAAATCAATATTACAGATAAGTGGGGGTAGTTGGATCGAATTCATAGATTCATTGGTGGGATCAAATTGGTTCATGAAGTCTTGGATTGGATCCAAGGAATTGTGAATTCAATAGTGAGAAATTGAAATTAATGAATTTGCTAAACTTATCTCATTTACCTTTAATCTATATTCGCATGTGACTATCTATCCAATAAATAATTGCAGAAGATTGAGGTTAATCCAATTCCTCAATTAGAAACAAACATAGAACGGAAGAGTATGTTTACTATTTACATCAAAATCATCATTAGCCTTCAGAGTTCTTGAGAGAAAGATTGACATTGGAGGCTTTGGCTACCTCTGCATCGAAGCTTCACCAACTACACTGCACTTGGATGATCCCTGCAAAGGCTGCAATGGACATGTAGTACCCCATTTTCATTTCCATTGTGTCCCTTTTGTCATTTTTCTTTGTTTGCCTTTTGGTTTTTCACTCCGGGTGAAACCACTGCGTTTTCCTACTTGTATTTACGGACCTCTTTTCATTTTAATATATTCACCATTACATAAAAAAATGTCAACAAACTTTAAAAGAAAAGTAACTACAGCCAACAATGTATGGTCTCAAAACTAATTTTTTAACCTCAAGCTTCCTTACCATTGACACAAAGAAGTGATATGTTCTCTCACTGATCTTCCTTGTCTTGAAATCACGGCTAAACTCACCATTTTCATAAACTCGACATTCCACCGTCAGCTTCCATCCTTGACAGAAGATTCTCTGATCTTCCTATGGGTTTCCCAACATACCAATGAACCACATAGACCACTAATGAGTTCACATTCAGCTGACACTTGAAACTTTCATAGATCAAACAAAAAAGTGTTGTCATTCTTCTTCAACTTGTACCGCGAAGTTTTCCTCACTCATCTATAAAATTGAAAAAGTCAAGCTCTTTTTTTATACTCAATTCAATGAACTCTCTATCTCAACTCATATACTAAAGCATTGGGAAACTCATAAAATTGGGAGAGAAATTAGAGAGTGCTAGGAAATTCCATTATAATTCTTTTTTGTCATCCAAACAAGACAAATGAGAGGAGAAAAACAACAATTAAATCCCTACCAACCATAATTGAAACAGGAGAAGAAGAATGAAGGAAACCTGAGTTGCATGGAACTGAAATTTGAAGACCACTTTGATCTTGTTCTTGTCAATCCAGCACCTCAATTGTCAGGAACATTGTGTTTCCCTCTATACCCCTCCACTGTCGGTGAAGTCTGTGGAGCTCCACTGCCAACTCAATCACCGTTTCACTGATAAATTCACCATCCCAAATGAAGAATGAGTGGGGGAAAATGTGCCTGAAAACTCTCCCCACTCCAAATGCGAAGAAACGAAAAAACTAAATTAAAACATTCTCTGTTGGTGGAGTGGAAAGGGTAAAAAAAATATGGATATCGTGGTAATAAAAATTTGCGTGGAAGCTGATGACAAGGTCAATGGGTGAAAAAAACTGAGCGACGAACAATAAGGTAGATGAAATGTCTGAGGATGAGTAAATACCATAGATAAAGGTTTTACGAATATAAGGACAATGAGAATGGTTGTTAAACGATAGCCTAATTTTCTTATGTTTTTAGGACTGAGATATGTTTAGTCTTTAGTATAACACTTTGGATGTAACGCAATTTTGTTGACTTTTTATCCTAACTAATTGAGCTTGGTTTCTCTCATTAATATGATAATGAAAAATAAAAATAAAACTTTCATTTTTGTTTCTCTCTCTCCCATTTGTGAAGAATTTTAGTACAAACACATCAAAGATCACCATATCCGAACTATCATATACTACAACATGAAACGAAAAAGTCATATTGTCAATGAGACAATCTAGAGATCACTTTTAAATACATGAAATATGAAGCATGAATTTGAAAAGGAAAGAAAGTTACTGAGGATAAGGATCCTCGTCAAGGAAGCTCTACCAATAATCTTCACAAATCTCGAATGGAGAAAAGTTAGGGAGATTGCAAGAGTTTGAAAATAGAGAATAAAAGATGATTGAATCTACCATACTAATTCATTATAAAAGGAGAATCTATATTTGCGTGTTTATGAAGTTACAAAATGATGATAAATCAAGGTATACATTTGATATGCATATGATATACCATAAAGTCTATAAATTTGTGAAAGTTTCATTTGTAAACTTCAACTCAGACTATTATTAGATAATAATAAGGCCAATGCTACGATGTCGCTGTTAAAAGTGCGGCACCGGTGCCGTTGTTTTCTATTGGACCACGTGGCTCCCATGTGGCAATGCTTTTTTCAAAACTCGATCTAGATTCTGCAAACTAAAACTTGGTTGAATTCCTTACAACCGATCCATGGAATATCTCATTTTTTCTTTTTCTTTTCTCCTTCGTACATTTTTCTCCTTGGAATAAATCGGTTGTTCCCTCGGCCCCCGCCTCCTTCGAACCGCTTGCGCCATCCAATCCAGACGATCAGAAGCCAAATAAAAGGAAAATTCTGGTTCCTCTCCGTCTTCCCCCTCACTCTCGGTGATTGTGATTGCAGATCAACTTTTCCAATCGATTCGATTCTTCCCTCTCACTGTTAGCGTCTCAGCGATTAGCTTTGTAGAGCGACTTCCCCCAACAGACTCGAAAGGCTTTTAGTCCTCTCATAATCTCCCTTCCTCTCCACTCGTCATTCCCTTATGTCTCCCTCGTAGTCCAGAATTGTTCGTCCGATCGTGCCAAACATTGGGTGGAAATGGAAGATTCATGACCATATGTTGATTTGCCCAGTTCAGGAGGGAGCGAGATTAATAGAATGATTGAAACAATAGGGCTGTGTCGACAAGATCGTTAAGCCTGAGTTGATCCAATGGTAATTCCAGTCTTCTGTAGGAGTTGTGCTCTGTTAGAAACCAAACAATAAAATTACAGTTATCGAATCTGGCTGAGTCGTGGACTACGTCGCTCTCTTTAAAACGTTTGCATCATTGCCTCGTAATGTGCACGACAGACTATCAACCGGTCTCCTCCAGGACAAAACAAACATTCTAAATTGGTTGCTATCGGTTTTGTGCGAAAACGGGAGCTCTATTGTTTCGGGCTCAAATGTACACATTTTACCCCTCAATTCTTATTCGTCTAGCTTAGTATTTCATCGTTCCTCGACATATTTCATGCTAGGTTGTGCTTGTTTTGATACATTTCAGATCCTAGCACGTGTGGAAGGGTCAAGGACGAGTTTTGGGATTTGGAGGTCAAAAAGCGCGAAAATTGAAGAAAAGCCTGAAGTCCGTGACAATTGCCTCATAACAGTGAAGTGAAGGGGTCCAAGAAACAGCCGCAGTTCACGGTCTCCTAAGACCGTGAACTTTGACCACAAACCGTGAACATCGAGGCGTCCAACGAGGTTCCTGAAGTTACTGACGACAAGGCAGTTCACGGTCTCTAAGACCGTGAACTGTGGCCATTGACTGTGAACCCAGGATAGTGAAGCGGTGCGTTTTGGACGACAGTGAGTTCATGGACACGTTTAGGTGTTCACTGCCGTGAACTGGCCAACCCGTCTGTGAACTGGTCACTTACGGGCAAATATGAAGACAGAAGCGGGGAGAGAGAAAGGAGAGCTGATTTTTTTTAGAATAAACACTTCCTTTCTCTAGGGTTTCAACCTAAACACCAAAGGGGAGTTCTAGTGAGAGAGAGAGAGAGAGAGAGAGAGAGAGAGAGAGAGAGAGTGCTAGAGTGATATTGGAGCATCATTGGAGGCTTGGGTGGAAGATTCAAGCCTAGAAGAAGAAGATCTTGACCTCAAATTTGTAATCCCTCTCTCTCTCTCTCTATAAATTCACTCTTTTCTCTTGGGTGTTGTAGATCCCTAACTAATACTTTGTAATTATTTGTTTAGATTGAATAATTAAGTGTGGGCTTACATCAATTTGAGTATTAGAGGTGGTTTCATGGTGATTGTGCATGCTCGTGCTTAGCAATCTAAGGGTTGTGCATGTTTTGTGCTTAGCATCCTTAGGTTTGTGCATTTTGGCGCTTAGCAACCTAAGGATTGTGCATAATTATGCTTAGCACCCTTAGGTTTGTGCATGTTGGTGCTAGCAATCTAATTAGCCACCTTAACCTAGCTTAGAGAGGAAAATCCCCCTTCCAAGGGAGACTCAATCGAGTTGGTTTTCCTTCAACTTTTTAAGCCACCTAAATAGGTTAATTTAGGGCAAACCTCAATGTTGAATTAAGCAAATTGGTTAAGCGTGATTAAGCCGTCCAACCTTGAGTTGAGTGAGGGAGTAAGTCACCACTGATTGCCTAAACCGAGAGGGCCAAGTGACACAGCCTATAATGCTTACCACGGTTTAGCAATTGAGATTGTGGTCTACGCCCATATTTGCATCCCTCTGCAGTTCGCGGTTACCAGTTTGCTTCTAGGTTGGCTCTGATTTAGTCGCTCAAACTCTGGTTTGAGGGAAAGACCTAGGCAACCAC